TAACATTTTATAAATATAATAATTAAGTATTCTGTTAGAACTCAATGATTATCCTAATTATATTTTAGATTTTTTATATTCAAAATGAAATGTTTATCCTGTATTTGATTATGTTTATCTGCAGTTAGTTACACGAATTCAGATATGGAGCTTTAATAAGTTGTACGTACGCACAATCTACTTGTAATCTTGAGTTTTAAGTAACATGCATTAATAAACAGTACTTTATGCATAAAAAGTGGTTTTTGGCAAATGTTTTATAATATAGTATAGATATATAGGGAAATGTTCAAACAAGAACCTCTGTGATTTACGAGAACGCGAGAACAACTTATTAATCCCATATTGTGATAACAATTAAAATTAGAAGATTTTTGAAATTAAAATTAAAATTTAAAACGATTCAAAAAAATTTGAGATTCGAAAGGGTAATAACGGAAATCAAAATCATAAAATTTTAAACACAATCACATTATAATCCTGGAAATTAGAGTTATCCACTTAATTCAAGAGTTATCGTTTTGATCATGGTGTGATATGGGTGTGATATCACTATCATAACAGCGTACTCGATTTGATCATGGTTTCGATCGGTTAGGGTTAGACAATCACACATTTATCACAACAATTACTCATGGTTTTGATAGGTTAGGATTAGCAATCACACATTTATCACAACGATTACGGGCGAAATCCACTAAACGATTTGGTGTAATATGGGTGTGATATCACTACTATAACATCACTTGCGCACATTGATCATGGTTTGGATTGGTTAGGGTTAGACAATAACACATTTATCATAATGATTACTCATGGTTTTGATAGGTTATGGTTACACTCTTTGATCATGGTTTCGATAGGTTATGGTTACACAATCATCACAAGAGAAGAGAAGAGAGTGGGTGTGATATGGGTGTGATATCATTATCATAACAGCGTACTCGATTTGATCATTGTTTCCATCGGTTAGGGTTAGACAATCACACATTTATCACAACGATTACTCATGGTTTTGGTAGGTTTGGATTAGACAATCACACATTTATCACAACGATTACGGGCAAAATCCATGAAACGATTTGGTGTGATATGGGTGTGATAATCATGTGATATTACTATTATAACATCACTTGCGCACTTAATTTGATCATTGTTTTGATCGTTTAGGGTTAGACAATCACACATTTATCACAACGATTACTCATGGTTTCGATAGGTTATGGTTACACTTGATTAATCATGGTTTCGATAGGTTATGGTTACACAATCACACAATTATCACAAGGAAAAAGAGTGGAAACGAACGTGATCAATCCAGAAAAAAAAGATGATTATAATCAATTAAAATAAAATAAAAATTATAAAAATTACTTAATTAAATTACTTCTCGTATTAATTTATTTATATATAGTATAAGTTAATTTATTAATTAAAAAAGTTTGAGGTTATTGGGTTGTTCTTGTGTTCTCGTAAATCACAGGGGTTCTCGTTTGAACCTCCACACACACACACACACACATATATATATATATATATATATATTTATTCATCTACTTTCATCTAAAATTTCTATATGATGTCAGAAACATTAACAAATTCATTATTGTGAAAATAATGATAATCGATGATAAATATAGATGAAAGTACACATTTTTTTTATTAACCTGGATATCCAATCTGTTATGCGAGCCGACTAATCTCAGGGCGACCACCTGCTTTGCAGATAGCCCGGAGTCACCGCATTTGAACATCCATGGCCATAAGAGGTTTTTTTTATTTCTCCTTGGATTTGAACCTGAGACCTCCTGATACTTTTGACTTTTGAAGCCAAGTTCAAACCAATCAGACACCACCATTGTGGTTGTACACATTTTTAGGTTTAGATAAAACGAAAACTAACTAATCCAAGAGCTTTGAAGTGTTGTCACATTCTCCCTTCTAACAAGAATATGTTCTTGTATGATTCTAACTATAAATACACTTTGGGTCATGTGATAACAGGGTTTTGATGAGAATGATAATAACATTTATGAGTCTTTGGATGAGTTAATTTTTGGTAACAAAGATTTACCGGATGAAACACACTCCCCATGCTACTTACCTGATGAAATAAAACACAATGTTTATAAATATGCTATTTTTCCTCATTAAATCCAAACATAATGTTCATATACATATTATTTCACCACATGAAATCAAACACAATTTTCATCTATAATCTATTTCATCAAATAAAATCAAACAGTTTCCGTCTCATGTTATTTTACCTCATGAAATCAAACATAATTTCATCTCTGTGTTTGTTATTTCATTCCATGAAATCTAACACAATTTTGAAAAACAAAAAAACCCATGACAACTTCAACATATGTACCAAGAATTGATTGAAAATAGCACTAAACCAGGAAAAAAAAAGATTTGAAGGATGAAAGGAACACCAAATCGAATCCAAACACTAATACTTATTGACTTATTCTAGTGTGTCACTGGTAATAAGCACTTTTGAGTGTTTGGATAAACAACTTATACCAGTGTCAAACCGATAATAAGAATTTTTCAATGAAGTTAAAACTTCTGACTTATAATAAGTTGAAAAGAGCTTTTGTAGAAAAGAATTTGTTTCAAAAAAGCAATCCCAAACGCCCCTAAACCAAAATCAAATTTACTTCACTAAACGAACCCTAGATCAGAATATCGATTTTCGACAACGACGATCTCTTGGAGGATAATGCTAGACTTGTCATCATCATTAGGTGGCGGGAGAAAGTGAAGAAACCCTAGTTTCCACTTCGACGACGACTCTCTTTCTCATTGAACTTGACGACCCTGAAGAAACCCTAGTTTGCATCCACTCGTTATCGACTAACGTCGGAGACTCCTCATTTCTGATCAAACTTCGACCAGCCAAACGATAAAAATAACTGCCAAACAGAATCATATTTGAAGTTCTGAATCACAACACAAGCTCTTAAGATGTTCTTGAAAAAATATAACATCCCTTGACAAAGAAGATGTAATTCCAGTACAATTAAGAAATATGATCATTGACCCTTATTCAAAATCAAGAATATAATAACTTAGAAACGGGAAAAAAAATCGAGATTTAACATAAAACTTTGAAACATCTACAAGGAACTGATCAATCTCACCGATTCAAGGGCTCTTCTCTTTTGCTGGATTGACAGTCTTTAAAGCCTTCAAAACAACATTGTTGCACTTAAATTAGATCCAAAAGAGATTTGCCAAACTTTATCTCCTTTTTTGATAGAGTGTGAAATGATGAGTGTGAAAATTGTATTGTTTTACATATGTTTATTTTTAATATGTATTTTTTGTTTGAATACATCTCGAACTAGGGGTGGCAATAGGTCAGGTTGGGTTGGGTTCGGGTTCAATCTATTTATTAAACAGGTTGAAAATCTCAACCCAACCCATTTAATTAAATGGGTTAAGATTTTTCAACCCAACCCAACCTGCTAGATTAATGGGTTGACAACGGAGAAAATAGTAGAATGAAACTCTCCAAATTTGGAGAACTCACTAAAAATGATTACCATAAAAGAGATAACTTTTTATTATAATCTATGAATCTTGAAATTAAATGTTTAGAAGATAGAAATACTATTTTATTAAATGTATAGAATATTTTAACAATATAATTAATAATGTAATCTCCAAAATGGAGAAGCAGTTGAAGTTTAATGCAATTGTTTTTAAATATTTTGAATTTAATTCTCCATCTTAGAGATTCCGTTGAAGATAAGGGTGTGCATGATGTGAATCGAGCTCGAGTATCATTATACTCGACTCGAACTCAAAACCCAATTTCTAAGCTCGAAATCGACTTGAAAACTCGCGAGTAGTAAAAATCAAAGCTCGAGCTCGAATCAAGCTCACCCATTGAAAAATTTATGAAATTTTAGGGCATTTCTCTTATAAATTTTAAAACTTAAAGGTGTTCTCTTAGTTTTTAATAAAATTAAAGAGTTCAACTTCAAATTTCATCATAAAAAACACAAAGTTAGAAATTCCATTCACCCCTTCTTTTATCGATTTTTTTTGTTTTTTACACAATCAAGAATCACAAGGACCAAAATCAAAAATCGATTTTGATTGGATGAAAGACAAAAAAATTCGATAAAAAGACAAAAATACCTTTTATCTAACAGAAAACTTTGAAGAAAGCTAGAGGAAGGAACAAATCTAAACGTTTTTACACACCACGATAAATTTTTTGTTTCAACACTTCTTTCTGAAATTTTCTTTTAAATTTTTAAATTTAGAATTTTTATCAATAAATTTTTTTGTAAATAATATTTTATCAAATGTATAAATATAGAAGGATACCCACGCAATACAACAAGATAAATCGCGATTTTAATGTTTATTTTTTATTCTTTGTTTCTATCGATATAATACGATTTTATGTGATTTTGAGAAAGCAAAAATGGTTTTTATTTTTGAATAAAATATAAATTTGAAGATAACATAAAATTTTGAAAAAAAATAAATCGATATCAGTATCAAATTAACTATTTAATAGTTCTCTTTTTTTATGTTTATTTTTTATTTAATAATATAATTATTTATAAATACAATAATTAAATATTATGTTAAAACTCAATGATTATCTTAATTATATTTTAGATTTTCTATATTTAAAATAGATATTTATCCCATATTTGATTATGTTTATCTGAAATTAGTTACACGAATTTAAAAATGGAGCTTTAATAAGTTATAACTACGCATAATTACTTATAATTTTAAGTTTTAAGTAATACGCATCAATAAACATTATTTCATGCATAAAAAATAGTTTTTAAGAGTTTTTATCAAATGTTTTATAATATAATATAGATAGCTAATGTCGTAATCTTCCAAAAGAATAAATAATTATTTGAAGAATCTGCTTGCTAAATCTTCCTTTCTTTTAAGCCTGTGTATCAAATGATGCAACTCGACTAATTTCACAAAACCGAAAAAGTAACCAACAAAAAAGTCCCCGATGGCCTTCCCACCAACTTTTAGACGACCCCAGAAAGAGAAATAAATAGACATGAGTTTTATGAAACCCCACTTTTCTAAATCAAAGAATACAAAATAAGGCCTACAAAGAACACTGAACGCTAGAAATGCACCATTTGCCTTTTTCCATTGTTCTTGGAGTTGACTCTCTCTTATTATTAATCAAAACCCCAATGACCCATACAATTTGATGCTCTAAATTGGAGATTTCGTATTACCTTGGTGATCTACTTGACAGACACCTCCCACAGGACACCAATCTTAGCAAAGCCCGCGGCTTTTTTGTTCTAAATTTCAGACGCGAAACCTGCACGCGAAAACACTTCTCTATTCAGTTTCAAGAATTCAAACGTGTTTACGTAGCGGGAATGCGCTAATAATCACCATATTTTGCTTCTTACCTTCCGACGAGCAACTCTAGATGCCTTCCAGCACAACAAGCTTCTTGATCTTGGTTCAAGTCTCCTGAAAACCCAACTCAAGATTCATCATTTCAAGTGTTATGGATCATAAAGTTTGAAACTTTCATGAATTTTTTTTATTGGATCATAAAGTTTGAAGTGTCATGAATTTCTTACAGATTCTCTTGTTCAAGCTTTTCGGCAATGGAAACAGCTTTGTGTGTCGTCCAACCATTTCGCTGTGATTCCGCCTGCTGAATTACATTTGCAAGAGACACTTTTCCTCTAACTAGGCTCATAGATTGATTTTGTTCCCCTAATCTTCTTTGGAAGCCACTGCTCGAATTCTTATGAGATGGAGTAGCTTCTATTTTATCGTGGTTATCAATATGCAACCTGGTTTTTGGTTCTCGAGGAGAAGCTTCTACTTCAACGATCTCACTTCTTCGTGTTGCATACAAGTCTTCTTGCGATGCTGGTATTGTGAGTTGCATATCACGCCCTTTTCCTACTTCTTTCCTCGGATCACTTCTCATTTCGATTGTAACATGTGATCCAAGAACATGCTCAAATGCTTTCAGAATATGCGTTTTGAATTTCTCTGCCTTCGATTTCGTCATATGAGAAGTGAACATAAGCTGAACGGTCGGAGCTACAAAATGAATCAAGTCATTACCTTTTTTCAGTTTTCAAAAGAATCTAGCAGTTTTACGAACTAAGAACATGAACTCGATACACTTGTTTGGTCAAAGATGGCAATACTACGGTCATTCAAAAACAAGATTTAAAAGTAAAGAATAAAGTAACTGCTAACTATGCAACCACATATTCGTAAAATCACTTCAAACAAAATATGGTTTCCATAAAACTTATGTAATTTTAATTCGATTCAAAATTTATTAGGCATGGGAGAATCGAGAATACAAGTCTATCTATTTATAACTATCAGAGCTGCGTGCATGCGGAGGGGGGCGAAGGAGGACGTGGGAGGAGCAGCCAAGAATGGATATGGTGGAGTTCGGAGAAGATAGAGGGCGAGGCAAGGGGGAGAGGTCGCAGCTTCTCTACCCCATGGGGGGCAAGGTCTGCGGTACATCCTACTAGGCTCATTTAGTTTGGTTTTACAGTCGGGTTTCTTATGTTTATGCATTAAGGCCAAAGGGCTCGTCTAGTGGATTCTTATCTAATTAGGTTTCCCCCTCGATATAACATTCTTTGAACCCTAAAAGCTTGAACTATATTACCATCTTCTCGTTAGAAGTTGGTATACGCAGACCCTACTTTCGAGTGGGATATTCCGAGTTCGTTTAGTTTGGGTTAGAAGGTAGTGTAGTTGCCTGAGGGTTTTGTTATGTGAAGCATTATCGGAGCGTATCGGCCTTCCTAGCCTCTAATAGGCTCCTCAAGATTCAAGCGTTTACGTTTGAATGGCTTCTGAATTTATTAAAGCGTCATTATTAAAAGTTAATATCATCATATATGCAACAAGATTAGAAGCGGATATACGGAGCATTGTCGATATTCAATTAGAGGATAATATTATTAACGAATAATATAACATTAATTAATCATCAACATCAATAAATCATAGAATTAACATTAACAACATTGAAAGCATACATTCAACCAACATCACTTTTGGGGAAATTGTCCAAGATAGCCAATTTGACCACCCCTCTTCACTTTATAGCCACCTATTCAACTTATTGACCGAAATAGCCGGAGATTGAGCAAGTGACACTTACGCAACTTGCATAACCCACTTCTTCAATATAATATTCAGAAAAAGTAGACACTATGCAAGTTGCGTAAGTTCTACTTGCATAATGTCTACGTGGAAAACAGAAAGTAGACATTAACCCAAGTAGCACTTCCACAACTTACATAATGTCTAATTTCCTGAACGTTATATTGCAAATGTAGATTGCGGAAGTTTCTTAAGTGCTACTTGCGTAATCCCCGACTATTTCGGTCAATTTGTTGAAAGGTGGCTATAAAGTGAAGAGGGGATGCCTTATCGGCTATTCTAAAGAAGGCGAGTTTATAGTAAACAAAGCACAAGTAAGGTGTATACTAGACATACCTGCACCAAAACTGAGTGATGCCAGCTTTGCTTCATGATACAAGAACTCTTTTATGCTATTTATCGGAATGTTCTCCAACACCTCCAACCAAATTTCTTCAATTTCTTGCCGATATATACCTTCTTTCGATTTCCTATGAACACCGCTAGAATTTCCACCACTTTTTGAAAATCCCCTTTGACCGTCAATCATCTCAGCATGTTCAAAGTTACTTTTCCGGGCTCCATCTCTTCCACCACCATTACTTAAGCCCAACGGACTGTGATGGATACTGGTATCCGTGGAGGATGTGGGCAACACGTACTGCTGATCGGGAGCAAGCTGCAATAACGCTGCTGTTAACCATGTCAATTTGTCGTTCGACATTCTGAGCTGCTTTTCTGCTTCAGATAACGTCTTTAATGCTAGCCGCAGCTTCTCCATATCATCTTTAGACACTGAAAGAGCTAAATATGTAAGAAAAAAGGCCAAAAAGAGCGGCTTTTTTGAAATCAAGAGAAGTCAGACTTACAAGCTTGTCGCCGAAAGAACTTCCTTTTTGGCCTTTCTTTCATAAAATTATAACTACCCGCAAGAATATCGGTTATTACGGTTGCAAGTTGTGACATTAAAGCTAATGGCTCAACACCCGACTCCATAATTTCTCTTAAATGTTTCACCGTATTTACGGTATCTGCTGACAATGCTAAATCGAGTAGATCGACTAACTTGTCATCAGATATAAGCCCAACCTGTGAATTGCATACATAAGTATTAAGTGCTTGTTTAAGTCGGGAAAAGTTCAAATGAGAACCATAAATATTTTAAGAACCCGAAAACCAACTATTTCATGTATTATTCAAATGAATATCATGTATTTTCATACTTCATGATGAATAAAGCATGAATAGTTGGTTACTAGATTCTCAAAATACTAACGGTCCTCATTTGAACCTGCCCTAGTTTAAGCATCATAACTCTATTAGAGAATAAAAGACGGAATTATTACCAGTTCTTGAACAAGAGGAACGGAGATTCTTTGCCCGAGCAGACTCAGCTGCTCGAGCGTCATTTCGGCATCCCTCAATGATCCATCAGATCTCGAGGCTATAAGCTTCAATGCATCTTTATCGATTTCAAAATCTTCTTTGGTTGCAATCCACTGTAATGTATAGATAATATCTGCATCCTTCAACTTGGGAAAGAAAAACTTCTGGCACCTGGAAACGATTATATGTGGCAAAACGTCAAGACTCGAATTGACTAGTACAAAAACCATACGCCTGGGAGCTCGATCAATAACCTTAGATATGGCACTCCAACAATCTGGAGGCAAAGTATCACAATCATCGATGATGAACACTCGGTACTGTGACGGTAGCTGAGAAACTATCATATTCTCAATAAGTTCCGTAATACCCTTGTAGCCAAGATTATTCATGGGACCCACTTCTCTTACGCTCCGACTCTTGCCCATATCGTGTGCTACACAAGAATGGCAATATCCGCAAGGTTTTGGATGATCTAAAGATTGGCAAGTTAAAGCTCGAGCAAATATACGGGCACACGAGGTCTTTCCAGTGCCATGGGGCCCGTAAAATACATAAAGCAAACCGACTTTCTTTTTGGCAATAGCGTTGGAGAGAGCTTGAACGGCCAAATTCTGGCCGACTAGATCTCGGAATGTTCTTGGCATGTACTTTTGAGTGAGATTTTGGTGCCTAGAATTGTCATGAATTCGAACCTTCCGTCTTTGGTTGCTGGATCTTGCTTCTGAAGCAAGATCCGAGTCAATCTCGCTATTCAAAAGGTTATCAGCATAAATCCCTAATTCACCGGAATAATCATGAACCCATGCAGCCGGATTTTCCGCGCTTTCTTGAGAACCATCCATCAATAAAGGCAACGATTCGCCATTCGTGGATGAACTAGAGTGATCGGACATAACGGGCATTTGAACAGAATCCCGTGGACCGCCTCTTTTTGATCTGGAGTCCGATAAACCACAGGAGAGACTTCTTCCGGCTATATCAAGAAAAGATTTCCCCCTATCGTGAATTCGTGACCAATTCCATGGAATCCCACAACCATTTTTGGGACCTCCTGTAACATTCTGCTCGCCGCCGCCATATTCAACTTGTCTCTCCTCCATATGAGCTACGAAATTAGAAGCCATGGACATCTCGTTTTTAGCTCCACCGCCTACTGCCGCACGAGGAACTCTCCTTCCGCCACGAAACCGCCGCCTTTTAACTCTATTAAGACCGTGGCTATGTATGCCTGATTCAACCTCCACAACACCTTGTCTTCCATGTAAACGATTGTGCGAAGAAGCCACATTGTCACTTTCCATCGGGACATCATGACGAGAAAGAGTCTTGATATGATCATCTTGCTTGCTTTTGCGCACATTTTGTTTACTCTTCGAATCAGAACTTCCCGGATAAATATCACGAGCCAAATTAACAGCATCTAGCGGAGAATCATCTTTACTTCCAACCAAACCAGAACCAAAACTCCTCCCACTCGATTCTTCTTTCTTGTTTCTTCTACGACTTGCATCCCCAGGACCCACATTTGATGACGAGTTGCCCGATAAACCAATTGACCGCCTTCCATTGCCGCTAGCAGCAGCCTCCTTTTCTATCCTTTTGGGTAACAGATCAAGGGCAGAAGGAGACTGAAATGGTGGTGGACTCATAGACGGATCCCTTAAAGATCGTGACCGTTGAAGAACAACCAGGTCCCTAATAAGGGACCTGTCGGTCATTATAGGACTATTTTTATGCATATGGTTTTTCAAATGAATACAGTTTGTTAAATGAATATGGTTTCGAAGATGATCACTAATATCACCATTAGCATCCTTAAGTATCCGGTCACGAACAACTCTGGTCATGATCCGTTTCTGGCGCACGAATAGCAATCAAGACAAGATATCAGAAAATATGGCATTTTGTTTCTAGTTTTATGTCTCTAAAACACCCATAAGACCAAATCTTTTCAATCACAGCATAGTAAATAATCAAAACAAAATCACACTACAATCAAAATCTTGAAACCCAAATCAAGCCCCCAAATCTAATCCATTATAATAGAATCATAGACACTTTAAATCCAAAACCCCTTAACAATAAACCCTATCAAACGAATCATTCTAATGAAACAACAAGCGAATCGATTAAAGAAACACTTGAAACTCAATTCTAGTAACAACCCAAGATTCTAAGCTTTGATTAGCTAAAACCCATATAAAGAAACCAGTTGTTATGATAAGCCAAGATTATGAGATGAAATTAAGAAACCCCCATTTCAAGAAACACCTAAAAAAATGCGATCTTTAAAGGTGCCAACAGCCACCCAGTTTTCACAAGAATCTGTGAAGAAATTGAATTCCCTTTTTGCTTTATGATGGTTATAGATATAAAAAAAAACAGAAATTTCACAGGATATGACTTAATTCACCTGAATTAGAGGCAAAGTTGCAAGTGACCCGTTTCCTTCATTAAATCTGAGATCTTTTTTACATGGAGTTCACGAGGGTTTTCTTTGGAGGTGGTGGCAGACACTTGAAGGTCTTAATGTGTGGTCAAGTTATTTGACCCACAACGGCTAGAATGGGTCTAGTGTTGGTTAGCAAACAGAGAGTGAAGATGCTGCAGGTTTAGAGAGAGAAAATGAGGTTTTCCTCCAGGGCCAGGGGGAGAGAGAGAGAAGGGTGATGTAAGAGTAGTAGTAGTATTGTGTTGTGTTGATGCTGACAACTGTGCTTTGGGAACTTGACACTTGCTAATTACACCACCTCTGAGCGTTTGTTTGTGTCGATCCATTATTTGAAACCAAATTGTAGTGTTGTGGTTTTGAATCTTGAATTAATTACCACCAAAAATTTATATTTGTATTTATGGTTTCAAAAGATTAACAACAAACAATACTTGTTGGAATTTTTATTCTCTTCTTCTCCAACATGTTTAGAGATGGAAATTTAGAGAAACCTTTAACATTAAATAAAGAAAAAGAGGAAATCTCTTTTTTATTCGGATTCTCTTTTTCTAAATTTGTAAAAACACTAAGCCCTTGTATGTTTTTATTTTATTTTCAGCTCTTAATTATCATTTATGTCTGATTTAATTCAGACATGTTGTAATTCAGACCGTTTATTTTTTTATTTTTTTAGAGTCTTTTATCACTTAATAGGGTCTGAATAAATAAGAGGTAAACTAATATCTTAATTCATCTTATTTCCTTTTTTTTTATTCTCTTTGACTAGTGTTTCTTTCTCCAGCAAGGACGTTATCGTCCTTTCATTACTCATGTGAAATGGAAGCCCCCACCTTCTATCTCTCTCTCTCTCTCTCTCTCTCTCTCTATATATATATATATATATGTATGTATGTATATATGTGTGTATATTTTATAATTTATGTAAGTATAGGTTAGTTTAGAAGAATAATATAAAATAAGAACTTCTATCGGTGATCTATCATCTGTCAAAAGTATCGATCTTTCCACAAACAAACTCATTGGCATCAATCCCGATAGCATCAGAAGTGTGAAAGATATCCAAAAGGTTCTTATTGTGTTACATCTGTTAAGCAATTGTTGAAATCAATTTCGACAATGAGAATTTTATGAAAATCAAGAGAATTTTACCATTTTTTTGCACCTGGTTTTACAAAAACAGACTATTGGTTTAGACTTCAGACGTTTGTCATTTTACAAAAATAAACAGTCTTATTAATTCAGATTTCAGACTTCAGCACCACCTCTTATTAATCAGAAGTGAAATAAGACTTCAAACTTCAGCACCTCTTAAAAAACAAATGTCACCTAAGCGAATGAAGAAGGAGAAATGATTTTTTATATTATTGAGTACATTAATATTATAATTAATATTAAAATCTTTGAAAAAAAAAAGCAATTGAAGTTGAATACGATATTCTTTTCCTTTTTTTTTGCTTCTGAGAAATTATGAAAAAATCCGTTGGAGTTGCTCTAAGCCTATGTTTAGTAATTAGGCAATAATCTAGCCAATTAATGTTTGGTTAAATTAGCAATAAGATTTTGAAAATGACAAAAATAGACCTACTGAAAAATTAATTGAAAAAAATATAAAAATGTCATAATTGGAAGAAAAAAAGTCCCTCCTACTATATGACATAACTTGCTGTCCAAATGTTTTCTGTTTGTATATTTCTAAGTGTAATTTTATGTACACTTGAACTTCTTAAAATTTTACAGTAGGTATGATAAGATAAAAAAAATGTTAATTTAATTTCTTACACAATCGAGTCAATTTCGAACCACCAAATCCTGCAACTAATGAAAAGACCGGGAAAGAGTTCAATTACGATACATCTCTGATATATAAGATATAACAACCTCAGACCTTTTCAATTAGATTTGATATACAAATGATGGTCAGATTTGGTTTTATATATATATATAGGGGAGCGATCAAATGCAAACCACTCAATTTGTACAAACCGTGCAAAC